CAGCTGATGCAACTTATGTTTTATAATAATATGGACATTAAATGCTGACAACATGAGTATTGCAGTCTCTCCAACTTGCTCGCTGAATCAGGCATGCACAGAAACAATTGGCCGAAGATCTAACCTGATTCCTTGGAATACCTTAATCAACTCGTTCTGAACCCTGGGAGCCTGAAGTGAGACAAGTATATTGAGATGTCCACGGGTCGACCATTGCGGTTTAGCATGCGAGGAGCATCTGTCATTGCCACCTGAGGCTCAAGCGACATCATCATCCCTTGAGGCTTGAGGCTTAGACCCTTCTAAAGTACGGCACTCGCCGAAGAGCACGGGGAAGCAAATCCCCAGCTCCCGTACAAGAGAGATTGGCCATGAGCAAAGCCAAAGCCAAACCAACAAAGCTCAGCCCCGTAAAAATCAGGACCGACAGAATGGATCGGTACTGCACTGTACATCAATAAGTCCCGGATGGCTGGGACGGCAAGCAAGGGTATCTGGTTCCGAGAGACACATGACCGCATCCATGCTGTTGGGCTCCTGGTAGAGACGAACTGTCTAGCCTGCCAGGTAGGCGAACGGTAGAAGAACAAGGGCTGAGAGGAAGACAGGCTGAAATAAACGCCCAGTTGCAGGAACCATTTTGTTTAGACTTTTCTTCTTTGGTCAGACATGGATTGTACATACAATATAGCATGGGTAAGGAGATAGCATGGATATGGGTTTGTTTGAACAGCAGGAGAAGAAGGCAAAAACAATGCCGAGATGACGATCTGTCAACTTTGGCCATGTCCACTTCTGGGGATACTGTAGCCTCGGTTCAACACGTCTCCATAGAAGCAGAAAAGAAGTTTTCTCTTTCTTCTTCTTGCACGAGCCCCCTTTCGCTACTGCAGTAGATTAGTACTGGGCAACTTTGCTAGCAACTCCCCGGATGGAGAATATCGTGGTCTCAGTTCTTGGTGTTTGCGCTTAGTGCTGCGACGTTGCAGCCTGGTCTTGGATGTTACCAAGTTGCTGGGTTCGGCAGAGAGAAAGCAAAAAATTTCTTCGGTCTTTCAGCCTCGTTGTGAAACGGTTGTCTTTTGTTTTTGCTGCGTGTTGGGTTTGGAGAAGGTATATCGGGGCGGTGTTCCGTTGAGGATGATACACGCTGTAACGCAAGGCAGGGCTGATTTGTTATATTGCATGTGAATATAGGTGTCTGTCTTGCACCATGTTTGCCTGGCTGAGATATCGAAGTGGCTGTCTTAGTACCCAATGCGGCTGTAACGGAAGCACATGCCGAGTGATAGTTTTTGGGTAGACTATCGCGATCAGTAACTCAATCGTGTCTTTGGTTGGGACTAGTTTTTTTATCGTATTGTATCTATGTTACTCTATAGTCCCTGTTTTTTTTTTCCTTCTTTTTTTCTTCTTTATTACTGATTTTTTCTTTCTGCTGCCCTTGATCTTTGAGGCTGAATAATTACAGCCTCATCCTTTCCAAAGTCGCAGAAGAAACAACAAACCTAGACAAACGCTTTGATTGTATCCACTTGATTGATACCATCACCGAGCATGAGGTCGGGGTGCTATGAATATGGATACAGGTACTTGCTCTCTCCCTCTCCCTCTCTCTGTGTGTTAGGGACACACCTCATTGACCCCTGTCCCTGTCCCTGTCCCTGCTTCAACTCCTGCTCTTTCCTTGTCGATATTCCATGTCCATGCAAGATTCCCGTCTCGCCTCTTTGATTAATCAATATGCACAGTATAGAGTAGGTGCTTCCATTTTTCTTTCCTTCCTTTTTCCTTCTCGTATTTTTCCTTTCGTCTCACACCCTCCTCTCTCCCCCCGTCATGGCCCTTGCACCTTCCTTTCGCTTCTGCTTCGTCTTTTTTGCACCTGCCTGAAGAAAACCCATTCTCCACCTCACCTTCCCAACGCTTCGGTCCCGGGAGCCAGGCTGCATTAGCCCGGTTTCACCATGACCAAGGCGGCAAAGGCTCATGTACAATCGGTACGTACCGGTACATGACGCAGACTTGGGATGAGAAGGTTCTGTACCCCAGCCTAAAGGAGGAAGCTGTCAATGTCATCTTGCATTAGCCTATTTATCATTTTCAGGGGGGTTAATCAACTTGGACTCAGTTCATTTTTAGCATCTCTACAGAGTACCTTAGCTGGGTTGTTTAGTAGCTCACAGACTAAGAGAAGAAGAAATAACGTCTTTTCTTGTCTTTTCTTTGCTTCTGGTGTTGGTCTGGAATATTGCTTTTCTTGTCTCAGTTATTTTTTAATTTTTTTTCTTTTTTCTTTTTTTTAACTGACGGAATCTGTTTTATCGTTTGTCTCTTTTCTCATTATGACGCCTCCTGCATCCACTTTATGCAAGGCACCGTAATTAACCTTTTTGTCTCATCTCGTCTTGTTGGGTTGGTTCGCAAGTGTTTTGTTTATCCATTAATGGCTGTTGGCTTTGTTCTCTCATTCATTCATCACTCATCATTGCTTCTTCCGAGTCAAACAGTACATACAACATACAATGCCTGATTGTTTCCTCTCTTGATATCTGATCTGTTACTCTGTTTCAGTTCGTATTCAAACGCAAACTCTTCTATTCTTGTAGTCGGCCCAACCAACCACGCAAACAAACTGTCGATCCAATCCGATCCAATCCAACCAATCGAGACTCTTCTCTCATGAGTTGCTTCTTTTGTTGTCTTGTTGCGACTCGTATCTGTACCCCGGCCACCGGCGCCTCCCTTTTTCTATCTCCAATTAGTTACCGAGACAAGACATCGATTGATTGTTTGACAAGTACTGCATGTGTTGTGAGACGGGTTCTTGACTGCAAGGTACGGATACTGTACGTGGAACGAATCAGCCTCGGCTGGTGATCTTTTGCGTCTGCTTGTGTCAGCGAGCGCGAGTCTTTGGCTGAACCTGTGAAATTCTTAGTGGATGTAGTGAGTGGCATGTTAAATCAGTCTCTGTTAGCCCATCTTTGAATCTGGACCTGTTTCCCATCGCGTGATGCCTGCTCTACCTTATCTTTCCAGATCTTTTCGTTATGTATGTATTCGTTTTCGTTTCTGAGGGCAACCAGCAAACATCACCTGAGACCTGGCCACAAACATTTGCTCTATTATCTAGGTACTAACTAATCTACTCTTACGGTTATGAAACGGGCGACATTCAAACGCCTCCAGGGCAAGGATCTCCATCACGAAAACCTTAGCCTCCGTCCGACAACTCTTTTCCCTCTGACTGACTCTCGACTCTGTCGCTTTGACGTTCCAAGCGCCGGAATCAACCATCCGTAGCCCTCCCTCCCGTCATCGTCATCATCGTAGCTGAATCATTGCGCGTCAAGGCCCCCCCCCCCCCTGAAAGTCAATTAACGAGCTACCATCCATTCATTGCCCGAGCGCCAAAACCAAGGTCGGACCTTGCTCGAACTGAGAAAAAGTATGTATTTTTGGGCGGAAAATGCTCAGAAGTTTTTAGGCAACATTTTACTGACTCGTCTCTGTCGTAAATATCAATGCCCGCCCCTTGTTGTCATAATCTCGCACGAGGCGCGTTTATGCTAAATTGCCTACCTTACCTAAGTACCTAGGTACGGTCGGGTACTGTACTAGAGTATTAACCCAACAACGATGCTTCAACCTTGTAGCACTTACAGTGACATCCAATCCATTAACCAATCCATTAATTACATTTTAATTAACGTCTTAATTACACATTTTACTCTCCTTCCCGATAGATTACATTGGCACAACTCTAGACTGCGCTGTCTCCTCGTATCCTAGGTTCTCTAGACTCTAGACCTAGAGTATTGGCTATTCATTCCCTACCTCCCTACCTTACCTAGTAGTAAAGGTGCTATCCCATTCTAAAACGTAGCCATCCATCACATTCCAGCCCGGCCCAACCCAACCTAAGGGATAGATGGATAAAGTTACTGGGTACTTTGTACGCGCGCGCCATCCCAAACCAATCTCTTCTGTAATCAGCACGTAGTTACTCCGTATTGTTCCCTTGATTAACACTAAAAGAAAGTAAGGTAATTGTCTGATCACTGTGAAATGCGCATACGTACATACTATACCTTGGCATCGTACGTACGTACGGATACGTCCCCCATAGCCTCGGGATCTTCCAACTTCTCCCCGGTTCGTCATCCACTACCCGCTCGTCACACAAACTACGGCTTCGAGCATAGGGAGCAAACAGTCTCTCAACCAAATGATTTCCGTCTTCTCCTCCTCGCCTCGACGTTCCCAAACAAGCTAAACGCAGCGAGTATACGATAAACTCACTCACCAACGGATATCTTGTCCTAGGTATCCTCAAAATAGATTTCTTGCGATACCATAAGTCACTTGTTGCATCCGAGGCCAATGATAATTATTGAATAGTTCCATTATTTGTATTTCTCTCCTCGTAGTCTCCGTACGCTGTGTAGCTAAAAGTCTTCCGTCTTATGAAATAATACTATACAGTCTAGAGGCTTCGAGGGGGAAGCGCGTAGTAGGGGGTATCTTCTATCAATCCTGAGTCCAGCCCAAGTGCTCTCTCAACACGGCCAGAGCATCGTATCGCTTTCCTCTTCCCCCTCCTCAATCCTCTTCCGATAGTCTTGCCATGTCTTGTACACCAATACAGAAATAGTACACGGGAATACAGCAACATATCCCTCTGCTGTTGGTCCTCCCGCGAGGGAGCCCAAACCAAAACAGCGATCCGATCCAGTAGTAATAAAAGGTAACAGTAGAAAAAAGAAAAAGAAAAAAAAAAGAAACGAGAGAAGCCGGCCAGAAGGAAAACTGTGCAAGCGAGGTGGGAACCAAGAGTGAATGCGCGAAAACAAAAAAGCAAAAACAAAAAACAAAAAAAAAGGTAAACAAGGTCCCCAAGTCTATATGCAAAATGAACATCTTTTCCCATCCGGTTCCCAGTTTTTGTGATCCTTATCCGAAACCCTCGCTTGAATTAAACTCCGAAATATGTCATCATGGCATTCGATCTTCTCGGCCCCGTCGTCAGGTCTTCCTTGTTGTTGGTTGTTGTTGTCTCTGCTCGGTTTCGGCCATCTGCTTCCTCTCAAGTATGCTCGCCAACCCTTGTCGTCCTTCGCTGCGCTGGAGGCGATCTGAGACATTCCCATCCCAGCCAGATCTGCATTCCGACTCAGAACACCCTGACGTGAGTGGGTGTTGTAGGTTCAGACTGGTAGTCGAGGGAGACTGTGGATACCGGAGGCAACTCGAGACCTGAGCCGACAAGGACGCTGCTGAGAAGATGAAACCCGAAGACAAGAAAATAAAACAAATCCCCGGTTTTTTTTTGTTCCCGTCTATGTTCAAACGCCGCGTTGCTGAGCCCAATGTGATAAAACAAACTTCGCGTCGCCACGAATCAGAAAGTGTGAAAAAAGCAAGAAAATCGGCACTCATTCAAATCAATGAGTGCATTCGTTCCCAAGAAAAAAGCCCTTCCCTTGAAATTTCCGCTTGCTGCTGGGAAGCAAGGGATGGCTCCGAGCCGTTGTGTATATAGTTTTCGACAGGAATGTGTATTAAAAAGTGTATTCGGAACGCATTAAGAGCCGGGAGTTATTCGGCTCCATGGCTGCTGAAAGTGATTAAAATGATGTCGTAATTAGAAAGGTCCCTTAGAGTCGAAGAGAAGACAGGCGGAAGAGTGAGAAGTGCGCGTCTGTAACAGGACAGTCGCAGTGTCGTGTCATCGCCGGACAGGCCTAACCGCCAGCGTGGCCCGGCTTTGGCGTGGTCGTCGGTCGCATTAGGTTGGGATACATGTAGAGTTTATCCAACAATCCAAGCGAGATGGCCTCTTATGAGGGTCTGGGGCGGGGCGGGGGCTTGGGGCAGCCGGTTGTGTCGTAGGCTCCTCGGCCCATGTTAGAGGGTGTTGATGATCCGTCAATCATGTTGACTGTTGTTGTGAGGATGTGTGAATGAATGAGTTATTGTTCTTGTTGCTGTTGAGATTGCTGCTATGTTGCTGGTCAGTCATGCTGTGGTGGTGAATCAGGTGCGCAATGTATATGAAAGGCGAGAGGATCACGCAAGTATATATAGGGACAAGGGAATGAAGGAGGAGGCACACTGTCATTGGTATCTTAAAGGAAGACCAAGACAGGCACCAGCGCGAGGACTTTGAAGTTATTTTGGTAAGCGATTTTGACTTACAAGGAATACTCGTCTTGGTGCGACAGAGCGTACAAACGGTATTGAGCGAATGTGAGCGCGGATTGGCCAAAGGATTGAAGCGACAGAGAAACAGAAAGCCGAATGGTATTCAAGATGCGAGCGTCACCAATATAATTGGAGCGTGTTTCGGACAGGTAAAGGAGTGGTGGTGGGTGATGGTTGAGTTTGGCGAGAGACGTCGACACCAGAACGTTGGAATAGGCAACACGAGCGAGAGATGATGTCGCAGACGTATTGGTATTGTATTGTAGATGAACGAAGGGCGGACAGGTGCGTCTCTTGAGTGAGTGAGTAGAAAGGGGGCTCGTTATGGGTGGATGTGAGAGAAAGTTATGCTTTTTGCGCAACAGCCCAAATAAGTAACAAGATCCAATAAGGGGAAACCTTTTTTTTTATTTGGGGTGACTCGAGCTTTGCTTTCCGTCAAGGGGATGGGACGTATGGGGATGGGATGGACGGATCGTTGCCGTAATACGGTAGCGTAGCGTAGCTTTCTTTCTCAGCTCGTAGTTGAGTTCAGGCACAAGGCACGCTGCAGTGGCGCCGGTCGGATGGTCGAATGAGTGTGGGTCAGACGAACGGGGCCGATTATTACGAAGGGGGTGGTGTAGGTATTTCCCTTTCTTTGCTGGTCCTGGCCTGGGCTAGTTCGAGACTTAAGACTTGCTTCCAAGAGGTGATGTGACCTGATGAATGAGGCAAGGCGAGATGAGGTTGCTGATGAGTGAATGAGTGAGTGAGTGAGTGTCCCAGTCGTCAAGTTAGGCTAGTTTTATAACTAGTCGTCAAAGTCGTCGATATCGTTCGCTTAATTGTGAGTTATAAGCGTGTGTGTGTATGTGTAAGTGATTCACTCTCAGAGATGTAGAAGATGATCGAGCAGGAGGAGGACACAAGTCTTGAGCTGACGAGGCGGGCGGCTGAGAGGACTTAAAAGGGAGTTTGTTCCAAAGGGAGACGTGAAGTGAAGTTCTGAATGGAGAATGGAAGTGCGAAGCAAGACGCTTTTGTACAGAGCACACCCGTCGGAGGAAGAAGTAATAGGGAAAATTCTCAATACTCATCCATGACAAGGTGAGGCTTGCAGCGTAAAGACAGACCAGGCAAGGGGTATCCTCAATGTGCCGTTCAGTCAGTCAAATCCATCATTATTACTTTTAGTTACCTGAGAATGAACCTCATCAAAAATTGCTGTGAAATTTCCCTAGTGGCCCACGCTCCAGGGGGCCAGGGGGGCGTACCAGAAGGGGGTGACAAAAAGCCGTGAGCCACGTCCCCCATCGTTCCAAAGCAAAAAAAGGAGGGAACAGAGCGGTGCCTGGCTGGACCATGTTTCATGGCTTCTCTTTCATGGCCTGTGCATGTCTCCATGAGGGATCCAGAGAGCTCGGGCTTCCAAAACTCAGGGCGCGCTTCTCTCAACCTTCTCTCGCTTGCCATCAGCATGGGTTCTACCAGTAGTCCTTCCGGCATCCAGGGCCTTGACTCCCCAAGGAGCGCTGATCCGAACAGCACCCACCCATGTATTGGGCATGCATACTACGGTACCCTCTGTACCTTGCAGTGTACATTCACTTTGACAGTGACATTGACTCTCAATTCTCGCCTCTCTGGGACACCCAGGCCACCGGGTCGCAGGGGTCGGAAGCCGCTGGGATCTGCCTTTTGCTGCAAGGCGTGCAATGTCTCCGGGTGGTTGGAAAGGCGTCGCAACTTACCTAGCCATGACCTCTCAGACCGTTTTCTCACACCCCCCAACTGCAATGCGCTCACCACACCCCCAGAGCCTCCTGCTCATCCCTTGGCAGGCACCCACATTCATCTTGCAGTAAACAGTGCTCTCCTTCTGTAACTGGACACGTTAGAGCGTTAGCTTCTTGGTCTTGACGTTGACAGCCCGTTAGAGTCCGCTTCTGTTACCCATGTTTGTCGCTTTGTAGCTCCCGGTAAACCTTCTTCATCCAACGTCTTTTACGAGGCAAGGCAGATAGCCACGCGCACGCTGAAATGGACGGGTAAGCCCTTCATGGAATCGATGGTTTCCAGGTGCCCCGTAGTGGATCCGAAACTGGCCCCAATGCTCTTGGCTGTGAGGACAATCCACGACGGTGGTAATTGGGAGGAGATGCGACTGGCGTCAAGCTCAGCGTCAAAATGGTACCCCGGGCCGTGTTTCTGCACTGTGTAATACAGTCTTGCTAAATCATGGGGTACCTCGTTAGTCAGGAACGAAGTTGTCGAATCGGTCTCCTCTTCCATGACATGGCCAGGGTCCTCCATTCTCTCGGTTCCCCCAGTACTCTTTCGTCGTAGCTCCAGTACCCGGCTTGATTGTTCCAGCTATTGCCATCCTGCCTGTTTGATATCCAGTTGCAACCCTGATGTTTGACTTGTATCTTGTCCCTGCTTTGCTTCTGAGACAGTTAGACTCTTCGTCGTAGGGGCTATGGGGGGGATTTGTTGTAGACATGACACCAGTTGCATCGGACATCCTATTTCTTGACCTGTGTAATCTTTTGTAGACTTCTGATGCTTATAGAAGCTCCTCCGATAGAAGTTGATGGCCCTTAGAACAAGAAGGTCTTCATATCTCACACGTTCGGTATCTCATCTTGCTGTGGCATAACAACGCAATATCAGAACTCAGCAAGATAATGCGTCAATAAGACCAATGACATCTTTAGGAGCACCTGATTCCTCGACTTAGAAGTCATTCCATGAAGGAGTACATAAATCGATCTCAGTATCCGATACTTGTTGATAAATATCTTGTCAGATTGTGCTAGGGGCAGCTCAGGCTCTCTGGTCACTTCACGCTTTGTCGAAGAATCTCAAGTTGTTGGCGTGGATTCCAGAGCTATAAATAGCCCACGCATGTTACGAGTGAATTCATCACTGCATGTGAAACTACACTGAAGCCTTCCCGCCCTTCTTGTTTGTTTCCGTGTATTGGCAATGATTCTTGTGACAGCTGTCACTTGGCAAAATGAAGTAGTCCTTGCCTATATGACAAGGAGACCTGATCTCGAACTATGCGCGATCCAGAATTAGCGACTGACGATTGATTGATGGGCTCAGTCGTAGCCATGTGGTTCCAAAATGATGGGTTTCCATACCGGCCGGCTACCGAGCTTGGGTTTAGTTGCCAAAGGACAAATCGTCATCAAGGCTATGCTTCTAGCTTCAAGCTCTCGCAGATTTCTTGCTCACGTGCAGACAGTGCATAGAAGTTCAGAAACAAACGAAGACAAGAACGGATATCATTGGAGTAGCCTCATTGAACCAGAACAGTTTATTGTCCTCTAAGATGGAAGTTCCTCAGCCAAAGGAAACTGCCGCTTCTCAAGCTCAAAATCATGCCGCCCCGCTATGATATCGGATACCAATCCCAAGGACGCGGAACCGCTGGGGCATCTCGGCTGACCAGTATCTTGGTTGAGCCTTGGGCCATCTGCGGCAATGGTGTACACATAAGGTATGGATTAGAGTCTCTCTGGTGAGTAACGAGGGCAGTATCTCTTGCTTGCCTCCGGGAATCCCAGTCTTGTGTTCGTTTGCGAAATTATCAAGAAAAATTTGAGCACAAAGGTAATAAAATTGTTTCACATTCAGCTGGTGCTAAATGAGACGTCGTAAAATGCTTGAATCCGTCTTTAGGGAACCCATGTGTCACGAGAAGCCCTATCCATGCAGGCTGTACTTAATGCAACGGAAGTATTGCCGGACTCGCCTAACACTGGGCCAACGTCTCTAAGATTGGCAGGTCGATGTTATATCACCACAATTCGCCGAGAAGCTGTGTAAAGTATCGTCAGACTCTTTATCAACAACTAACAATGAAGACCGCAACCTTTACAGCCGTAAGTAAGTAACCACGAGCATTGCGAAGCGTGTCGTGTATTTCCTTGCAGCTCAGTGTCGGGGAATTCGCTTTGGACACCTGCGATGAACTTCCGGAATGTCACACCTATAATTCTTACGGCGATTTGTTTGAAGTCAAAGTGGGCCGATGAGGCTTCGTAGAAAGCTTCCAGAAGCCTG